ACATTCGCCAGCGCTTCGACCGGAGTCGACGGTCCCAGACAGATTCTCAGAATAACATCGCGCATTACTCAATGAGGTTACGAAACAATTCACTGAGCGAGTTTATTAGTTGTCTTCTTGGCGCCCCGTTAACGTACACACCATCATTTAATTTTTCTACTTCTATTCTCCACATCTTTAATAGCTTTTATCTTACCCTTTTTATATTCATTGTTTAAATGGACCAGTCATATGTGTTACATGGCGCTGAAATGCGCCAGCTTATGCGCTATAGAGAGTTCGCGCCTTCTGTAATGTTTGGGTGAGTATGTAAGGTTTTTCTGGCAATAATCAGCACTTAATGAGAAGTATTTGTAGAATCTTCTGGAGTTTCGTGTCTAAATTTTGCGCCTATTTTTTCACCATCTTCCTTTTCGTATCGCGGCGCTTATCGTCTGGTACACCCGTACGTTCATGCGTCGCGTGCACGCCGCAGTCGGCGCATTTGGAAGTGCAAGCCCTGTGCCCTTGCCTACGGATTAGGCCATATCAACGTCAGCCTCGTTGATCCTTCATCATTTCGCCTGTTTTTTTCAATGAGAAATGAAATGTGTGTACTGTGTGCTGTTACGATTGTTCGTACCTCGGTTTCATCTACATTTTTTGTGTGTCTTAATTACCCCAAGGATTACTTAAGCTCAATGATTATTTTAGTATGACTCCTATGAATGCCGCAAAATTAGTGAGTGAGGTAGCTAATGATATTTTTCAAATTCAAGTATTTTTTTAGAAGTACCGTCGGCTACATTTTGGGCTGGTGCATGGCCATATTGGCTGCCGTGATCGGCCTGCTCATAACAATCCGTAGATGGCCAAGTATCGAGCACCGTGTGCAAGCCGCACGATCGGCTCCGGCGGCCATTGTGGAAGAAGTTGCGTTATCGGCGACTGCGCATATCAAAGACTACGCATGTTCCATCATGAAGTTGTGTTTTAATTTGTGAACAAGCTGAACAGCTGAACAAGTTGAACACAAGCTTCGAATGAAAATACAAGTAAAGTCTTGTCGCTATAATTATGGTCAACCCTGTACAAATCATATTCAGTCGGGACATGCGATCCCACCAATACGAGACGGGAAAGGAGTAGATCGCGAACAATGTGAGGAAATTTGCACACCTGCTGCGAACTGATAAGATTTTGCATTTCGCCAAAGCGGCAAATGTGCAACCCCAGCTCATGAAGAACCAATTTTGATATTGCAAAAGAAGAGATTGCGGTAACGAGAAGGAGCGTAGTCCAAAAGCCCACCTCTTGTTATATTTTATGTTCATGTTTTCTCATCCCCGAATTGCATACTTGTGTATATCATGTATATTATCATGTATCATATATATATTCTTATTTATATCAATATATATATCTAGTTTATACACATGCACTGTAATTTTATTGATCTCGGCTATTTCATTATCTCGTCATATTGTTACTCAGACGTTTACTGTAACCCCACTCTAATTGATCCACGTTAATACCTTCGCTCCTTTACAAGCGGCGCGCTCTGCGTACATAGACGGCGGGAAGGCACATGACTCAATGATTCAGTGTGCGCCGCGCGCCACTGTCTGAGTTGCCGAAAAAGCCAGTTAATTTTTCCGAAACTTCTACATAATATCCCACTTATTTCCAAGTGAAAAGAAGCTACTGACAAGCAATTACCGTAGTGAATAAATACGACCTCATGCCAATTAGCCCTCTCCCGCCGCGCAAGTTTTGTAGATATAGTATATATAGCCCCCTATAAACCTAAGATACCCACGCAAGAAAGGGCCTGACAAGCATGCAAAGGAGACGTCACTTTTATAGCTAGGCTGTCGAAAGACACCCATGTGCGATGTCATAGTTGAGATTCCCTTTACTGAAGTTACACAGGTTGTCCCAAAAGTAAGCACACACTTTCTGATTTTCAATCTCTTCGCATTGTGTCTTTTCCCTAGCTTCACGTATCATTTGGTAGAGGAGGTATTAACTTAGATTTACAGTGTAGAGCAAGTCACCCAACTCCCCATTACTGTGGGACTACGGTAGGAACTTTCAGCATACAGCGTTTCTACGAAATGGGCCACTTGAGCAAAAAGTTCCAAAAAAAAATCTGGAGAGTTGTGGCAGCGTTGAACATGCTGATTTCAATAGACAACTTTTTTTTAGCTGCGGGGTTTTCGATGGACTGTTTTGAAAAGCGCTGAGAAATTACGTAAGCTTACAATAACTCAGTTTTACCATGTCTAACTTTCGCTAAATTTAGATTCCTTAATTCTAACTTTCAAAAGTGCCTTGATAACTTTTCGATGAGCAAACCCTTTGCAAATTATTGCACAATTTTGCGTCTCTTTGACATGTCTTCTATCATTCGATGCATCTTTTACTCTTCTTTCGAACAGCTACTTTTTCTTCGCAAAACATGCGACTTTTACGAAAAAATCGCCGTAGTTGCGAATTTCATGAGTGCGAAAGGTAGTACCCAAAACTTCAAAATCAACGCATCTCCAAGCGAAATTCGCTTATTTACTTTGTAAAATTATTGATAGTGATAATTGGTTTGGAAACCAGAAAATTTTGAAGGTTTTGCAGTGTTCGGTGCGATTATGTGTCAAGATTTCTTGGAAAATCAAGGCCTTTGTAATATATTATTAGATTAGCACGGAAGTTCTCGTGCAATTTCAGAATAGATCCGCTATTCTCGAAGTTTAATACGTTTACATTCGTTAGAGATACCGTTCAATAGAGCAAAGCAAGCTTTACAAAATGGCAGTCACTGCTTTTGCACCAAGTTTGATCCACGTGGAGTTCGAGGCGAAATATAGGAAGTTACAAATGACCGGAAAAAAAGTTACAAAAAAATCG